CAGTCCGCGCCGCAGCTACCCCTAACCGCCGGCGGTGGGGAGAGCACCCGCCTCCGTATCACACTTGGCTGCGGTGCTGCACACCCTGCTCTGGCCGAGCTGCATGCGTGGGGACTGGGAAATGTCGACTCCCCCGCCTCCTATTCGTCTTCCCAACGCAGACACCCGCCTACCCCTTCTCTCTCCACACTGCTCTCCCCTGCTGCGCTGTGTCAGTCTCCCCCCCGCTCCCCCTCACCCCTCGCCCGCCGCCCACCGGCTGCACTGCCCGCCAGGCGGCAGGTAGACCGGCCCGTCCGACTCTGGAGCGCCCACGCTGCCTACCTCCCCGGCTGACGCTCGCTGCAACTTTAGCTTTGCTAAAAATAACTGACAAAGCTTATTTGCACCGAAAAAAAAACGGAACGCCACAACCAAGCGCCCTCGTGCTACAGGGAGACGGTGAGGTGGGGCGGGCGGGAGTCTTTATCCTGTGGTAGAGACAGTCTTGCGGACTGTTCAAAAAGCTTTGCTGTGATTCCAGGAACTAGCCTTGGAAGGGCAAAGCAGGACTTTGACCGCGTAGGGTAATGACTTTTTTGGTCCTGGGGCTATCGGCCGCGGTACAGAGTTGTTCTCCGTCCTGGCCGCCTCGGCAGCAAGGTCGGGTCCGGCCTTCGCCTTGGCCAGACCCGGCTGCGCTGGAGGGTTATTTATGCAATGGCTGGTTTGGGACCGTGGCTCCTCCCTCCCCCTTTCCACCCGAGGCGAGACAGTACCACCGCGCTGCTGGAACCTGCCGCCGAGCGCTCCGCTACCCGCCGTATCCAAACGACTATTCACGACTTTGCCCGCCCGCGTCGGGGTGGGTGCCTCCCCCCCACGAGCCCCAGGGGGCTCCTGTCCCTTTGTGCCCCTCGGAACCGCCCGACCACTTGACGCCCAACCCGCAAATTTGAAAAAAATAAAAAAAATTGTATGGTTTACCGGAAAACTTAACATCAAAGACGTTGTGAAACTATACGATTTGAAATTATCATATTTCAGAATTCTTTCGACCGATATCGACGAGAAAAAATTGTCGGTCGTACAGTTTGAAAACATTCCCTGTTGAAACCATGTTTACATAGAGTTTACATAGAAAATCACCTACAAAGCAAATGATTCTTTTCGGCCTCCTCAGAGTGATATTATTCAATAATATTGCATTTTATTTACAAACATATTTTACACGGCGCGCAACCTCGCGGTGCCACGCGCGCTGGCATGGTGCTTTCGCTCCCGGTGGCGTCAACTACTGGCAATCCCATCATTACAGGCCGCTCCTG